TTAATAAAATGCTGAAGTGGTAGGTAGATGCAAGATAAAGGTAGAAAACATAGTTTAGTGCTGTAAGAAGGCAAATGTAGATGATCAGATGATCAGGTGTGTGCCTATGGACTAAGTATTAATCCAGGCTAGACAAGGGCAGCAAGACATCCACGGATGCAGAAGATTTCTCTCAAAGCAGGGGGGGTGAGGTTCTGAGCCTCACCTCTGTTGATCCCCAAATTCTCACCTGATGGCCCCCCTGCGACTGTGCCTGTCTTAGGTTGTTCCTCCCTTGAGGAATCTTACCCGTCTCTGGCTAACCAGTCATCTTCCGGGGCCATACAGGGAAATGTAAAGTTGGTAAGTGAGAGAGAAGCCATATTGTTTGCAAAGGTTAGCTTTTTACTTCTTTGCAGATTTATGCCCTGTGGCTTCTATGCCCAGCACTTGTCTCGAGGTATCTTTACCACCTGGAGGAATTATGATACTCGGTAAATTCGATATGAGGCACGAATTCTATTTAAGGTTTGTAATTAGGAAGGAAGAAGAAAAGCTATAGATGTAGCATATGAAGGAAACATGGGAGGATTGATTATTTCTTTGACATATCTTCTTGTAGAGTACCTTAAGTATGTATAGGTTTTAAACTACTAACTAATTTGCACACACATATTAACATAATAGGAATACGGTGACATAAACAAAGCAAATCTATAATTACCATCCATCTCCAGTGAAGCCAAGAAAACCATTTAGGCACCCTAGGCATTTGTGAAAATTTGTCTATGATATGATGGATGTTGTCCTACTGTACATGAACAGTCTGAGAAAAATCAGACAAATTAAAGCAGCCCATTTCTGGGATCTGTTCACATCCCATATGTTCTTTTAACCGTAGACAGTCTATAGTCATAAGATTTTGGAGTGCTACAACTTGCACGAATGGATGCTGAATTTTGTTGAATGCTTTTTCAGCATTTATGGAATGGAATGTGGTTTTTGTCCTTCTTTTTGTTGATATAGTGGATGATTTTGATGGATTTTCTAGTATTGTACCATCTTTGCATCCCTGGGATGTATCCTTACTTGATCATGGTAGGTATCTTTTTGACATATTTTTGAATTCGGTTTGCTAATATTTTGTTGAGTATTTTTACATCTATGTTCATCAGGGATACTGGCCTGTAATTTTTTTTTGTGGTGTCTTTGCCTGGTTTTGGTATTAGAGTGATGCTGGCTTCACAGAATTAGTTTGGAAGTTTTTCCTCTTCTGCTTTTTGAAAAACTTTGAGGGTGGGTATTAGGTCTTCACTAAATATTTGATGAAATTCAATGGTGAAGCCATCTGGTCCAGGAGTTTTGTTTTTAGGTAAGTTTTTGATTACCAATTCAATTTCGTTGTTGGTAGTTGGTCTGCTCAAATTTTCTGTTTCTTTCTGGGTCAGCCTTGGAAGGTTGTATTTTTCTAGAAAGTTGTCCATTTCTTCTAGGTTATCCAGTTTGTTAGCATGTAATTTTTCATAGTATTATCTAATAATTCTTTGTATTTCTCTGGTGTCTGTAGTGATTTTTCCTTTCTCATTTCTGACTGTTTATGTGTGTAGGCTCTCTTTTTTTCTTGGTAAGTCTGGCTAGGGGTTTATCTATTTTGTTTATTTTCTTGAAGAACCAGCTCTTGCTTTCATTGATTCTTTCAATTGTTTTACTCTTCTCGATTTTATTTATTTATGTTCTAATCCTTATTATGTCTCACCTTCTACTGACTTTGGGCCTCATTTGTTCTCTTTCTAGTTTCATTAATTATGAGTTTAGACTGTTCTTATGGGATTGTTCTTTCATAATGTAGGCCTGTATTGCAATATACTTCCCTCTTAGCATGGCCTTCGCTGCATCCAATTTTGCACTGTTGAATTATTGTTGTCATTTGTCTCCATATGTTGCTTGATCTGTTTTTATTTGGTCATTGATACATTTATTATTTAGGGGCATGTTGTGAAGCCTCCATGTGTTTGTGGGACTTTTTGTTTTCTTCGTGTGATTTATTTCTAGTTTCATACCTTTGTGGTCTGAGAAGCTGGTTGGTATAATTTCAGTCTTTCTGAATATACCAAGGCTCTTTTTGTGGCCTAGTATATAATCTATTCTTGAAAATGTTCCATGTGCACTTAAGAATGTGTATTCTGCTGCTTTTGGGTTTGTTAGGTCCATCTGTTCTGTGTTGTTCAGTGCCTCTGTCTCCTTACTTCAGGTCTGGTCGATCTGTCCTTTGGAGTGGTGTGTTGAAGTCTCATAGAATGAATGCATTGCATTTTATTTCCTCTTTTAATTCTGTTAGTATGTTTCATGTATGTAGGTGTTCCTCTGTTGGGTGCATAGATATTTATAATGGTTATATCCCCTTGTTGAACTGACCCCTTTATCATTATGATGTAATGTCCTTGTCTCTTGTGACTTTGTTTTGAGTCTATTTTGTATGATACAAGTACTGCAACTCCTGCTTTTTCTCCCTATCATTTGCATGAAATATCTTTTTCCATCCCTTTACTTTTAGTCTATGTATATCTTTGGGTTTAAAGTGAGTCTCTTGTAGGCAGCATATAGATGGGTGCTGTTTTTTTATCCATTCAGTGACTCTATGTCTTTTGATTGGCAGACCACTGACATTTAGGGTGATTGATAGGTATGTACTTATTGACATTGCAGGCTTTAGATTTGTGGTTACCAAGGTTCAAGGTTAACTTCCTTACTATCTAAGAGTCTAACTTAACTCACTTAATATGCTATTGATAAAGATCACTTTTGATCTTTACATATATATAGCCTACTACTCTAGAATGACTCAAAAAATATTAGTACTTCATGTCTTGCCTCTTTACAAATAGACTGTAAACACCCTGTGACAGACTGCCTCACACTTTTATTCATCTTCACCTTTTAAAACTTTAATCACAGTTCCCAGAAATTAAAAATGTATACCACAGAAAATGGCTATTTTATATTTACAATGGAGCATAAGGACAAATACAACTTTCCCCAGGTGGTCTCAAACTTCTCTTTGGGAAGCAGAGTAGCTAAGGTGCAATGGTATAATGTATAACTGAAGAGAAATCTGAATGACCATGTCCCATGGCCAAAGTAGGAAAATTAGGCAACACAGTTTTCCCCCCAATCCCCTTGTTAAAGACAGCACAGGACTACTGCTCATACCTCTTTACTCTTAGCTCTGCTCCCAATCTGGTTTAAAACTTCACATAAATCATAATCTTTGGGGCTTCAATTTGTTTCTTTATAAAGTAATAGGTCTTAAAGGTCCTAAAAATTTTGACATCCAAAACATTTTTAAGACAAAAAAGTACCTAGAGGTGTTAAAAGAAGAAAGATAATATATATTCAACATTTTGAACTGATTTACCTAGAGACAAAATATTTATTACTTCAACAACCTTGATGAAACACTGGATAGAGAATTATTTTGAAGAAACTATGTTGAGAATACCTTCTTCCTATTCCCTTTTAAGCAATGCTCTCCAGGAAGTATCAATTACCATGGATACCATGACACTATACCTAGACTGTTACTACATAGTACTTACTTTCAGAAATATTTGTCATTCTGTAAGAAGCTGAAAATAAGAACTCAGGGAGGGCTAGAATTTCTGGGCTTCTTAATGTTCAGCTAGTTATTTGGGCTCAATAGCAAGAGGCCACCACTGAGTAAGGAAGGGCAGGAGCCTGCTAGCTTCCCATACAAGCATAAGGCATTGGTATTTAATGGAAGCAAGCTATCCTCAGACCCCTTTCAGTGCCTTAAGCTAGACAGCAAAGACACCAGAAAACCTAAAACCCCAGCTAGGAGATGGGCCATGTGCCCAGACACTCAGTCCTAACAACAAATAAAACAAGTGTTTTGTTGTAGTTACCGTGTCATCTTCATCAAAACGCACATACATTCCATTAATAAATTCAAACACAAAACTTAAAAGACCAGATTAATAAACTAGAACACTAAATAGTGTTAACAGCTTCAAGGACAATAGAAAAGTTAAATTATTCCACTTAACATGCATTTGTTACAGAAATGCAAAGCACTAGTCCTGTAAAATAAATGTCAAATTGCTAAAAGTAATGGGAAGGTAAGACAGGGAAGGAGGGGAGAAGGCAGTGGTAGAAAAGGAGGGTGATACAGGGTGTTCATGTCAAAACATAAAGCTCATTCTTAAAAAGAAATGACTAGGCTAATGGTTTATTTTTGGCACAAGCTTTTAAATCTGACGTTTTATATGAAAGGTTAGGCAAACAAAATATTTTCAGAGTCAGGGATACTACAACACTCAGATGGACAAATTGACAGATTTTGACAGAGAATAGAACTCTTTAAGGTATTTTAAGAAGCTGGTTTATTCTGGTTTCATCTCAGCAAGATGAGACAGGTAAAAAAATGTGACGTCTGCATGGTCCCTTTATCTCATCCTACTTCTCCTAGTCATCGCTAGACGTATGAACCCAATACTACTCTTTCAACACAGCAGTCCGATTCCCTCAGGAGAGGCATGCACTCTTCATCTGACTGTCACTCCCGTAACTCCACACAATAAACTAAGTATATGCTTTAAACACACCCAGTGGCTTGTACCCAGATGTTCCACTTATATCCTTGTCCTCTTCTTCCAGCTCCCGGCACATTACTGGACTCTGCAGAGAGAATGCCTGTGTGGTACTTTGCAAGCACTAAGCTCTGACTGGGGAGCAGGTGCGCCAGGGACAGTGGAATCCAGCCTGAGTATTTGCCATGTGTGTAGAGCAAGAAAAAGGTTAGGAACACATTTAAACCTCCTTGTTTTAGGAACTTCCTTGTTTTTTCACTCTAGTAGGGAAAACTGACTACAAAACACTAAAGAAAATCTTTAACATAGCAAAGTAATCATTTGACAGAATCTCCTCAAAATTATTGTTCAAAATTTACAACATAGAAGCCATAGAAAATTTGCTTTATAACTACCAACCACATTCAACAAAGGTATAAAACACAATTACTTTATTGATTTCTTACAATCAAATACTGCCAGCTAACAAGTACTTCCACTCATGCATCATTAAAAATAAAAGGCTACTTCCTTGGTATTTTCAAATGATGCATTATACAATAAACAAAAAGAGTTAGAACTTAAAATGCACCCTGATTAATTATGTAAACTGGTAATCTTTTTAAAAAGCATAACTAATAATTTGGTTCCTTTCTTCATAAAATGGAAATTTAAATATTTCTCCTGATAGTCTTGAGGTTATTGTCATGTCATGAGTAGTGCAAAGTGTAGCACACAGAGCTTCATCTAGAAAGGTGTGTCTTACACACCTCATCACACAGATGAAATGTGCTTAACAAAATGCATGATAGAAAGCATGTTTCAAATACAAGGCAGCCCATCGGGCCACCATATTATTTAGGTTTTGCATTATCATTTATGGCATTATAGATTAATTACACATAACATACTTTTATACATTTTAACCCTGAAGATAAGAAAAACAATTCTTTCTTGAAAAATCATTCCAGGTAGTCATTTGGTTTGTATCAGGAGAAAGTGAACCTCCGGAAGTTCAGTGTCTGCCAAGTGTGGAATCATTAGCTCAAGTCAAAAAATCAGATATGTGACATATTTCACAGTGAGTGTTTCCCAAGTTCTGGCGTGCCTCCTCTTCCCCCTGCAGTACATGCCAAATGATGGAGCATCTCCGGGACTATCTTTGCACATGGTTGCCCTTTTTTTTTTTGCTGGATTAACCATATTATTGTATTGTTTCCTCTTCAATGGCCTTCCAATTCAATTATTCATAAGTCCTTTAAGAATATCCTCAGAAAGCTCCATAAGGGGAAGTTCTGGAGATGGAAAATCCAAGGGCGGAAGATTGGGGATTGGAATATCCTTGGCTTTCCCAGTACTTGCTGCAAACTTCTGCCAGGTTGAAGAGGCTGCATCACTTTCTGAATGTGGTGGCAAGCTCCATAACTCCGACTTTTCTACAAAATCAGCATCTACATCCAGCTCCTTTTCTATTGGGCCTTTTAGAAGTCTGGCCTTTTCAGCCCTTAGTTGTTTATTTTCTTTCCTTAATTTTTCATTCTCAGCCACAAGGAATTCCACATGCCTCTTCAAATCTGCAATTTTGGTTGCCTGCTCCTCTATAATTGTTTTATCATCTTTTGGGGCTTTGCTTCCAATGAATGGCTCTATTGGCTCACTCCTCTGCTGAAGTAAAAATAGTAGTGTGTCTGGATCTCTGTCAAAGACGCCCTTAATTTCAGGCAGGTGTTTCTCTGGGGAAGGGCTGTATGTCTGAGAGAGAAGGGGACTCTGGCCCTCTGCATCTTCAGCAGAGGGTTTGTGAGATGCCTGAAGATGGGCAGCCACATCCTTGTCTGTGCTCTGCTGGGCTTTCAATCTTTCCTCCCGCTTTGCCCTCTTCCATCTCTCTTGGATGAGGAGGAGCTGTTTCATGTGACTATCCCTTTGCAGTTCCAGTGATAAATGAGCCTAGTATATGGAACAAAAGGTACAATTGAATATTTTAAGTCTCCTTAGTAATGTCTAAAAAATACTATTTCAAATTCTTCCTTTCTGAATAATCCAATAAAACTTAAAATTTATAATCTATATTCACAATGCAATAGAACATTAAAATTTTTTCAAAAATTGTATTAGGTATCAGCCAGGCCAGTGGTCCAGCCATGCCCACAATCATGTCCATAGCAATTGTAGCCCCACCACAACAGGATGGCACATGGAGCTCACACAGGGGATACCCCTGGAGCACCTGGCTCAGGTGGTGTGGTGGGACTGTGCTTCTGGGCCCCATACGACATCTACATAAGGCCACTCCTTCAAGACTAGGAGATGCAGCTGAACTACCTAATACAGAGAAACAACACAGAAAGGCAAGATGAGGAGACAAAGAAATATATTCTAAATGGAAGAATAAGACAAATCCTCAAAAAAAGAATCAATGGGAAAAGAGAAGCAATTACACAATGAAGAATTCAAATTAATGGTTATAAAGGTACTTATTGAACTCAGGAGAAGAACAGATGAAAACAGAACTTCAGCAGATTGAAAATATAAGTAAGTACCAATCAGAGCTAAACAGTTAGAGAAATGAAAAATACTCTAGAGAGAATAAAGATCAGGTAAGATGATAGAGAACAACAAGTATGCAACTGGAAGAAAGGAGAGCAGAAATCATCAAAACTGAACAGCAGAAAGAAAAAAAAATGTATTAAGTGAATATAGTTTAAGGAACCCATAAGACAACATCAAGTGTACTAAAATTCACAATGTCAGAGATCAAACAAGGAAGCGAGAAAAATGGCATAAAACTTACAAGAAAAACAACTGAAGAGTTCCCTAACCTGGAGAATCTGTATGCTCATCTATATGCTGCCTACAAGAGACTCAGTAAAGACCTAAAGACATACACAGACTGAAAGTGAATGATGGAAAAAGATTATCCATGCAAATAATATGGAGAAAAAACAGGGGTTTCAGTACTTGTATCAGACAAAATGAACTGCAAAACAAGTAATGTAACAAAAGACAAAGAAGGACATTACATAATGAAAAAGGGACCAGTCCAACAAGGGGTTATAACCATTATAAACATCTGTGCACACAAAACATAAGCACCTATATGTAAAACAAATACTAACAGAACTACAGGGGGGAAATAGACTGAAACTCATACATATTAGGGGACTTAAACAGACCACTTACATCAATAGAGCAAACTAACAAAAATAAATAAGGAAACAGAGGCACTGAACACCACATTAGATCAAATGGACTTTGATCAGATAGCTACAGAACACTGCATTCAAAAGCAGCAGGTATACATATTTCTTCTCAAGTGTACATGGAACATTCTCCAGAACAGATGACAGCCTCAATAAATTCAAAAAGACTGAAATTGTATCAAGCAACTTCTCAGGCCATAATGGTATAAAACTAGAAATAAATTACACAAGAAACCAAAAAGCCCACAAACACATAAAGGCTAAACTACACACTTCTAAATTATCAACAGGTCAATGAACAAATCAAAACAATCTAGCAATACCTGGAGACAAATGAAAACAAAAATAAACCAATCTAAAATTTGTGGGACATTGGCAAAAGTGGTTCTAAGAGGGAAGTACACAGCAATACCAGCCTACCTCAAGGAACAGGAACAGTCCCAAATAAACAGTCTAAACTCACAATTAAAGAACTAGAAAATGAAGAGCAAATGAAACCCAAAGTTAGTAGTAGGAGTGACATAATAAAGATCAGGCAGAAATAGAGAAGAATAAAACATAAAAAAAAAAATCAAAACCAAGAGCTGGCTCTTTGAGAAGATAAACAAAATAGATAAACCCCAACCAGACTTTTCAAGAAAAAAAGAGAATACACAAATAAACAAAATCAGAAATGAAAAAGGAATAGTCACAATGGATACCACAGAAATATACAAATCATTAGAGAATTCTATGAAAAATCATATGCTAATAATTTGGACAACCTAAAACAAATGGACAAATTCCTAGAAAAGTACAATTCTTTCTTGAAAAATCATTCCAGGTAGTCATTTGGTTTGTATCAGGAGAAAGTGAACCTCCGGAAGTTCAGTGTCTGCCAAGTGTGGAATCATTAGCTCAAGTCAAAAAATCAGATATGTGACATATTTCACAGTGAGTGTTTCCCAAGTTCTGGCGTGCCTCCTCTTCCCCCTGCAGTACATGCCAAATGATGGAGCATCTCCGGGACTATCTTTGCACATGGTTGCCCTTTTTTTTTTTGCTGGATTAACCATATTATTGTATTGTTTCCTCTTCAATGGCCTTCCAATTCAATTATTCATAAGTCCTTTAAGAATATCCTCAGAAAGCTCCATAAGGGGAAGTTCTGGAGATGGAAAATCCAAGGGCGGAAGATTGGGGATTGGAATATCCTTGGCTTTCCCAGTACTTGCTGCAAACTTCTGCCAGGTTGAAGAGGCTGCATCACTTTCTGAATGTGGTGGCAAGCTCCATAACTCCGACTTTTCTACAAAATCAGCATCTACATCCAGCTCCTTTTCTATTGGGCCTTTTAGAAGTCTGGCCTTTTCAGCCCTTAGTTGTTTATTTTCTTTCCTTAATTTTTCATTCTCAGCCACAAGGAATTCCACATGCCTCTTCAAATCTGCAATTTTGGTTGCCTGCTCCTCTATAATTGTTTTATCATCTTTTGGGGCTTTGCTTCCAATGAATGGCTCTATTGGCTCACTCCTCTGCTGAAGTAAAAATAGTAGTGTGTCTGGATCTCTGTCAAAGACGCCCTTAATTTCAGGCAGGTGTTTCTCTGGGGAAGGGCTGTATGTCTGAGAGAGAAGGGGACTCTGGCCCTCTGCATCTTCAGCAGAGGGTTTGTGAGATGCCTGAAGATGGGCAGCCACATCCTTGTCTGTGCTCTGCTGGGCTTTCAATCTTTCCTCCCGCTTTGCCCTCTTCCATCTCTCTTGGATGAGGAGGAGCTGTTTCATGTGACTATCCCTTTGCAGTTCCAGTGATAAATGAGCCTAGTATATGGAACAAAAGGTACAATTGAATATTTTAAGTCTCCTTAGTAATGTCTAAAAAATACTATTTCAAATTCTTCCTTTCTGAATAATCCAATAAAACTTAAAATTTATAATCTATATTCACAATGCAATAGAACATTAAAATTTTTTCAAAAATTGTATTAGGTATCAGCCAGGCCAGTGGTCCAGCCATGCCCACAATCATGTCCATAGCAATTGTAGCCCCACCACAACAGGATGGCACATGGAGCTCACACAGGGGATACCCCTGGAGCACCTGGCTCAGGTGGTGTGGTGGGACTGTGCTTCTGGGCCCCATACGACATCTACATAAGGCCACTCCTTCAAGACTAGGAGATGCAGCTGAACTACCTAATACAGAGAAACAACACAGAAAGGCAAGATGAGGAGACAAAGAAATATATTCTAAATGGAAGAATAAGACAAATCCTCAAAAAAAGAATCAATGGGAAAAGAGAAGCAATTACACAATGAAGAATTCAAATTAATGGTTATAAAGGTACTTATTGAACTCAGGAGAAGAACAGATGAAAACAGAACTTCAGCAGATTGAAAATATAAGTAAGTACCAATCAGAGCTAAACAGTTAGAGAAATGAAAAATACTCTAGAGAGAATAAAGATCAGGTAAGATGATAGAGAACAACAAGTATGCAACTGGAAGAAAGGAGAGCAGAAATCATCAAAACTGAACAGCAGAAAGAAAAAAAAATGTATTAAGTGAATATAGTTTAAGGAACCCATAAGACAACATCAAGTGTACTAAAATTCACAATGTCAGAGATCAAACAAGGAAGCGAGAAAAATGGCATAAAACTTACAAGAAAAACAACTGAAGAGTTCCCTAACCTGGAGAATCTGTATGCTCATCTATATGCTGCCTACAAGAGACTCAGTAAAGACCTAAAGACATACACAGACTGAAAGTGAATGATGGAAAAAGATTATCCATGCAAATAATATGGAGAAAAAACAGGGGTTTCAGTACTTGTATCAGACAAAATGAACTGCAAAACAAGTAATGTAACAAAAGACAAAGAAGGACATTACATAATGAAAAAGGGACCAGTCCAACAAGGGGTTATAACCATTATAAACATCTGTGCACACAAAACATAAGCACCTATATGTAAAACAAATACTAACAGAACTACAGGGGGGAAATAGACTGAAACTCATACATATTAGGGGACTTAAACAGACCACTTACATCAATAGAGCAAACTAACAAAAATAAATAAGGAAACAGAGGCACTGAACACCACATTAGATCAAATGGACTTTGATCAGATAGCTACAGAACACTGCATTCAAAAGCAGCAGGTATACATATTTCTTCTCAAGTGTACATGGAACATTCTCCAGAACAGATGACAGCCTCAATAAATTCAAAAAGACTGAAATTGTATCAAGCAACTTCTCAGGCCATAATGGTATAAAACTAGAAATAAATTACACAAGAAACCAAAAAGCCCACAAACACATAAAGGCTAAACTACACACTTCTAAATTATCAACAGGTCAATGAACAAATCAAAACAATCTAGCAATACCTGGAGACAAATGAAAACAAAAATAAACCAATCTAAAATTTGTGGGACATTGGCAAAAGTGGTTCTAAGAGGGAAGTACACAGCAATACCAGCCTACCTCAAGGAACAGGAACAGTCCCAAATAAACAGTCTAAACTCACAATTAAAGAACTAGAAAATGAAGAGCAAATGAAACCCAAAGTTAGTAGTAGGAGTGACATAATAAAGATCAGGCAGAAATAGAGAAGAATAAAACATAAAAAAAAAAATCAAAACCAGGAGCTGGCTCTTTGAGAAGATAAACAAAATAGATAAACCCCAACCAGACTTTTCAAGAAAAAAAGAGAATACACAAATAAACAAAATCAGAAATGAAAAAGGAATAGTCACAATGGATACCACAGAAATATACAAATCATTAGAGAATTCTATGAAAAATCATATGCTAATAATTTGGACAACCTAAAACAAATGGACAAATTCCTAGAAAAGTACAACCTCCCAAGACCCAGGAAGAAACAAAATCTGAACAGACCAACTACCAGTAACAAATCTGAACTGGTAAGCAAAAAAAATCCCAAAAAACAAAAGTCAAGAACAAGATGGCTTCAGAGTTGAATTTTACCAAATGTTTAATAGGAGTTAATACCCACCCTTAAATATTCCAAAAAGTAGAAGAGGGAATACTTCCCAACTTATTCTAGGAGGACCGCATAGGTCTAATAACAAAACCAGAAGACAGGATGTCCACTCTCACTTCATTCAACATAGTACTGGAGTCAATCAGACACAGCAAAGAGATAAAAGGTATCCAAATCAGTGTGATATCACCTCACACCAGTTAGAATGGCCACCATCCAAAAAAGGAATAACAAGTGCTTGCAAGGGAACCCTCCTACACTGCTGGTAGAAATGTAAATTGGTGCAGCCACTGTGGAAAGCAGTATGAAGGTTCCTCATAAACTAAAAACAGAAATGCCATAAGATTCAGTAATTCCACTTTTGGAATTTACCTTAAGAAAACAAAATCCCTGATTCAAAAAGATACATACACCCCTATGTTTACTGCTGTATTATGTATAATAGCCAGCTTATGGAAGCAACCTTAGTGCCCATCAATAGATGAATGGATAAAGATGATGTGGTACACTAAGGAATATTATTCAGCCATAAGAAAACTAAATCCTGCCATTTGTGACAACATGGACAGTCCTAGAGGGTATTATGCTAAGTGACTAAGTCAGGCAGACAAAGACAAATACCATATGATTTCACTTATCTGTGAAATAGAAAAACAAAGAAAATACAATGTACAAAAGAGCAGTAAATTCAGACACTGAGAAGTGACTGGTGGTTATCAAGGGGGAGGGGCTGAGGTGGGTAAGTGGGTGGGGAGACAGAGGGGGATAGTTACAAAATTCTCAATCATAATTTAAGCTGATCTCAAGGATGATAGTATAGCATAAAGAATGTATCCAATGATTCTGTAACATCTTCCTATGCTACCAGACAGTGAATATACTAATGGGGGTGAGGATTTAACAATATAGGTAACTGTTGAACCACTGTGTTGCATACTTGAAACCAATTTAAGATTGTATATCAACTATACTTCAATTTAAAAAAACAGAAGTTATGTTTATGAATAATATTATTAAATAAAAATGACCATTAGATAATAAAGCATGATTTAAGACTATGTTGCATATTATCTCAGTTATGTATATATACACACAAATGACAAGAATTAGAAGAAAAAATATTGATGTGTTATCTTCAGGTGGTGGAACTGTCACTCTTACCTTTTTTTTTTAACACATTTATGTATTATGTATATTTTCTATGGTGAATATTTAAGTTTTTTTTGTCAGTGAGTGTTCACAGAAACTTTATGTTAACAATTTTCCACTCGTAAAAGTAATAATACTTTTTGTAGTTTATGTGAAAAAAAAACCTTAATATTTTCTTTAAAATACTGTCTGGCATTATGTCAACCACACTGTATTTTAAAAGACATTGTAAATGAGAAAAACACTGAAGTCCAAAAAATTACAATGTGATTTAAATTAGAATTCTATTCAACCTGGTATGGTTAAAAAATATAGTAATTCTTTCTAGGTAAGCCAACATTTTCATTCATAAACAGAACACTACTCATTCAGGAAGTCAGAAGTCCTATTCCAAATCAACACAATGAATCAAACCTTTTTTGAACATGCCTTACCCCTCTGCCATGCCATTTGTACTCAGCTTAAAATTAGTTAACTTTCCTCTTTAGACATTAATTCTACAACTAGCTAAAAAGTCTCAATCAGCAGGCTGTTCAGAGAACTTAATGCATGTCTGTAATACTCGGGCAGCATGAACAATTCTATACAAAAAAGTACATCTATACAAAAAAGAGAACCCAGCTTTCAGGTTCTCTTGGTTCACTTTGAGGAACTGGTGTTTTTCCCCCTCTGTCACTGATACCCCTTGCAAAAAGAGTCTTAATTCATTCAACAAACATTTACTAAGTACCTTCTATGTACCCATCACTTTTATAATCAGGAAATCATCTTTGGATAAAAATTTATCTTTGAATAAAGGCACTTTTAAAACCTAAACAGGTCTTCTCCCAAACACAAAAGACAATTTAAAGACATTGGTGAAACAAAGTTTCAAGTACCACAATTGCTTAGGAGTTCAGGAAAACATAAATTCAGATTTAGATTTTGTTTGACAAGCAAAGGGAAGGCCAACTGGTTTTCCCTTGGCCAGGCCTGCTTACTTTTTGTGAGCTAATGGTCAAATGAGCTACAAGTAAAGCCCTAAGATGGGTCACATACTGACAGACCTGAAATGTGTGAGAATCAAGTAACCACTAGAAAAAAGACAGAAGTTTCTATATGCCATGTCTGTTGTTAAACAGCATCATTTAGTTTCAATTTTCTTTCCAAAATTTTTGACTGTAGAGTTTTAAGAGGGGCCCAATGCTTTATACACAACTCAAATCTCCAAGGGAAAATCCTTCTAACCCTTGTTGCAAATATTATGAAATTGTCTCACCTGCTCAGATTTTGTCAGCTTCATGGCTTCAGAAAGATATGCTGGTTAAAAAAAGAAGAAGGCACATCAACACGAGTGTCACCATTTTGGAATTAACAGATCAACGGAAGAATTTTAATATTCCTCATACTACAAAGAGAAGAAGTCTTAGAACCAATTCTACTACATAGTTACCCAGTCCCTAAAAAAGAAACGCAAAAGAGATTTTTTAAAAAGGATGGGATTCTTAACTTCTCCAAAAAAAGATGTCAGTGGTAATCAAAGATAGATATTGCTTACTGCATCTTGAAGGGGTTTGTTCCTTAAAATCCCTGTAGATTTCACAATTAAGATGATGACCTAATCAGAAATAAAGGCTGAGCGTTTCAAACCCCATTATTCATTATAATCACAAAAGATCAAGAGACTGATTATCAATTATTTTTTACCCACATGAATACCTGGACTATATCATTTTGGCCTCCTACAGAACTATTTTTCTTGAATTGTTCCTAAGCTATATGCCATCATCTTACTATAAATTAGGTAATTTAAAAGCCCTAAGAACTTGACATATTTATAGTAAACAAGTTGTTGAGGACAGTATAATGTCATTTATAAAGGCCATAAATGGTCAATAACTCATAATTTCTGTCTGATCTTCGGATCAGTTCCTGGGTGACTTAATTTGTTTGAATTTAAATAGTATAAAAATCTCTAATTTTCCAGTTTGAACTGACTGCTAGAAAGCCTAGGGCACCAAGCTCTCCCTCTATCAACTACACAAAAACTCATAGTGAATTTTGTGAACTATAATACTTCCAGTCCTTCCCCACTTTTATCTTTCTATGGATTCCTCATGTACTTTTTTAAATATTTTGTTGTATTCCTCTATAAATCCTTTTATATTCTGTCTGAAACAAGATGGGGTATAAATAACAGTACTATAATAATAGATTATACACAATCTCCATTTTTTTTCTCTTGTTTACCATAAACTTTTAGTATCTCTCATTCCTATATTAAGTTCCTTTTGGCCTTTTTGCAGATATTACAAGGCACTGCTTTCTACCTAGTCTTAATCCAAATATTTTAATGGTTTTCTGAGTTGATGACTTAGAATGTTGTCTTTAATAGACTCTTTAAGATAGATTAACTAGAGGCTCCCTTCCCAATAGAAAACACAACTTGATTATATAGCCTTTGTTCTAGCCATAATCTTTTTTCCTCAACCTTTTGTCTTTTATTCTTATTCTCAATCTGTTTAGCTGCAAATAGATTATTTCTTCTCCTTTTGTTCATGTTTAAGTCTGCTGAGACATTCTATTACTGCTCTGACAGTGTGGATGAATTTCTCTAGACATCCCTATTATGTCATATGTATTTGTCTCCCAGTCCAAACCACAGTTGGCTTTAAATCCACTTTCTTAAAAACACTATGGTTAAACTATGGTTAAACCAATTGCAATATCTCCCTTTATATAACTCTGAAACTGTAACATGACAGAAGAGGATACCCAAGAACACCAAGTTTCCAAACCACAAAGAATTCGACAAGAGTCATGCTGTCATTTAAAGTATTTCCCACATTTCAATTTAAAATCTGGGCCTTAAAAAATAAAAAGTTATGTTAAAAGAAAAACAATGCTTAATCTGACTACCTGCTCATGGATTTACTCCAAAGGCATAACAGGAATAAATGCCATCAGTACAAAAATTTAGGAAGGGAATACTTACCACAGAAAAATCTAACAATTCTGGTTAAACTGTCTCCTTCAACTATGATGCAAAGCTAGTCAAAGTAGGAATTAAGTAAATGATGGGCAAAAGGAACTAAGAAAATCTGAAGAATCTATTCTTAAAATAACATTTATTACTACTCTATTGTGAATTTGTTAAACTGGTACCAAAGTATGAAGTATACAGCCTACATGCACACATGCAGTAAAACACTGGTTTCAGGGACAAAGACTGGCTCTGAATCACCTTCATGTTAGTCTCAGGGAAGGTCCAGGTCAAGATGTGTTTTCAACCACATATAAACACTATGCACTCTGAGGTCTGTTCATCTTCTGAAATGTTCATTTTGAATTCTAAGCATTATTTAGGGCTATTACCAACTTCCCATTTAAGCTTTTGCTACTTTTGCACTGTTTAAGAAAAAAATGAAACCACTTAGGAAACCAAACTCATTGGACTGGCAAGAATTACAACAATGCAGTTACAGCTGCTATTCAAGGGTCTAAAGTCACAGATTTTTCCAACCATGTCATGCTGAATCCTTGGGAGTTTATGGCTTCTTAAACTTTCTATTTTTCAATATAGGATAGTAAAACATGAACTCCTCCTCCCTACCTCCTGCCAGATGTAAAGAGATTTTTTTCTTCCAGATTTGGTATCTCAGTTTATCTGGCAAATGAATGCTCATATGCTGAATTTCATCTAATTCAGCCACTACCATCTCAGGAGTAATCCTACCTGTCCTCAAGAGGAAAGACAAATCAAGTAGCCTGTTTTATTTCAACACATTTACAACAAAACCATTATCAGAACACTATAAAGTACAAAGGCTATGAGTCCTTAGCTATGTAATCTTGGGGTAAATTTTTAGTCTCAGAATCTCCTCTGATCACTGACAGTTGGACACAGAGGCCCCTGCTTTTGACCTTGAAGTTCTCTCTGTTCAGGCTTTCCTTCCTATCAGTCTTTCTCAGATAATGATCTTTTCCTGTCATACTTCTAAATGAAATCCAAATACTAAGTTCCTTCCTCTCAGAATATATCCACATCCATACCCTCAAAACACTTCTGCTATAAGCCCTAGATTTAAGTCCATCTGGAAAATACTGAACTTGTTATAACCACATTAATTTTCAAATTAGCATTACATTCACAACTCCACTCTAAAACACAACGAAGGCTATTTTTAACAGTCTAAACTACAGATCTGCTCAGTGGGATTACCTAATCACACTTAAATTCTATCTCCACAATTAAAGCTAATGGGATCCAACAGCCTGCCTTTATCTTTTCTACTCCTAAGAATGTCACAGAATTTAGATATAGAGAAAAGTAGGGAGAGGCATTTAAAATCCAACATAACTTTTAAGTCTTCAAATAAACACAGGGATATAGATCAGCAATGAAAAGAAACCTTTTCCCTTTTATATATTCAGAATGTCCTACTGATCAATGCACAACATATGCTGGTCACTCCATTTTAACATACATTATATATGTATAACCATAACCACTGAGGGCTACTAAAGGAAAGGCATCATTTTACTGTGGCATTAACCCACAACATTGTTTTGTTAATGAGTAAAGTACATTGTCTTTTCTTTATAGTACTACAAATTAAACTTAATTCATAACAAAATATTGTTTAAGGAAGATTTAAAGAGCACCAGCTGCCAAGTTTAATGCTGTGTAAAGCTCCCAAAAAACTCACCATAAAAATCCACAAAGATTTATGGAGTACACACTACATGCTCAGCCCTACAGTTGAAGGGGTACACATCTAATCCAATTCTTTAAAAATAAGACTTGAAATTTTCTATGAAAATTACTGTTGTAGGCAAAAATCACTGATGTAAGAGGACTTATCCAAAGCAGTGTCTGCTGTGTAGTCTGTATTTCAGCAGTAAGGCAGTCCTGGAGGGGCAGACTGCCAGGAAAGAACATGGCTTTGATCATCATACTAGAGAGAAGAACACAGACCCAACATGCTATTACTGCTGGGCTAACTCACCACACTAGGGCTTAACACCTAAACTAACTACCTTCAACTTATCCCAGACATGCAATTGTCAGGAATTTTCTGGTTAGCATCGGTAAGGTAATGTCACACATGACCTCTCCATCCACAAAGGGAGATGAAGTCATCCACCTAATGAGACCCTCACCCTGACCTCCCACAGAGCATCGCAATGTGTATAGCATGATCCTTTAGGACACTCACTAGATGTATCCATGCCACACTGCTTGATGTATTGATAAACATAACTTTTCATGCACACATCTCCTGCTACAGAAAAGGTGTTTAAGATGTCTCCAGACGAATAGGCTTTAGTACAGTTTAACAGAGCACACTCAAGGGCTGCTCTCAGGTCACGGTCCTTACTCAGTAACACTATGAATAAATTTTTATCTTTTTTAAATTACATAGTAGTCATGTTGATTTCAGTTGACAGTCATATTGGCCTGGAGGGAAAGGAAGGTACCTTCCTCTTGCAGAAAGACTGCAGGGCTTGGTCTAAGAAAGGTGGCTACACCTATGCAGCCTGAGTAAAACACCCCCTCCCCAAAGCTTTTAAAGTTTGTTACACAGTCAACAGATAGCAGCCTGAACAAAACAGACCCCAAAAATCTATTTCTGAATTCAACATACAGTAGGTTGTGTTGGCTGACTGGGATAAAATGAGGTGTTAGATAAGAAGCCACCAATTCTAAATTTCATACCTCTAAGTAAGCTATCATCAGCATAGTGCAATAGGCAAGAAATGTATAGTTGCAATAGTCAGAAGGGAAGCTAAAGAAAGACCATACATAGGAAAGAGTTTTGGTAAGTCTTATATTATCAGCATCTTACAAAACAGAAATGCAAGGAAAATTAATTGGTTGGAATCATTAGTTATTATTTTCAGAACCCAAAATGGCTAACTATCTGGAATCCAGATTCCTTTTCTCTAATTAGGTGAAGTGACGGACTTCTCTCAATCACTTCTGTCTTTATGTATCTTCAGACTCAGAGAGCTGTGTCCAGCAATCATTTACCAATATGGCATATGCAGTCTCCATAGGTTAGAAAGTAGACTGGGTCAGGAGGAGCTGGGAAATCCAACACACACGTGAGAAACAATCCACGTGTACATTCTGGTGGGTCAGTAGTATCCACCTTGTATATACAGGGCAACCACACAACATTTATAATTACTGGTGTGATTTCCCTTCTACTGAAGTGTTTGAGAGATACCGGAGAAGATAAATTGTCCTCCAGTTTTAGACTCAGTATTTCTTTAAAAGAATACTTACCTGAAGCCTTTTTGTGACAAGAAATAGCCTCTTCGTATTTCCCTGCAGCTAATAAACGATCTGCTCGTCTGCTCTGTTGATGAGCCTAAAAGACAAACATTCATAAGTACCTCTGAATCATAAAAAAAGACAGACATAAAAAAAAGCTTTTAAGAAAATAAACATTGGTATTTGTTGCCATACATCAAACTATCACAACTGTTATCTGTAACTAGGGCAACCTAATGGATAGCTCCTTCAACTATAGCATCTGAAAGGATTACACTTCTCTCAACTCTACTAATAAAGAATCACGGTTAACACCAGGCACATAAATCCTTCAGTGACCCATGGTCTTCCATTCTTCAGAGATTAACCAAGAGTTACAATCATATACTGTTACTCAAAATGTGTATTTTCTTGATTTCTAACATGCTCCTTTCAAAACAAAAGTTATTGTGTAGAAACTTTCACTAATAGTAGTTTAGAAACAACAACCAAGAAATTACTTATCACATAGAAAAATTCAAACTTCTCTTGTATCAACTTTTTCTTCCCTTTCAATATTAAAGTTTGCTATTTATGTCTTTAAGATAAAAAATGTGTACATGGTATGGCTGAGCAATTTATGATGCCAATATTTAATACTATGGTAGAGATTTTTTCAGGTACAACTCATCAAAACAACAGATAAATTCCTAAGTTCTGAAAGCAAATGACCTATGTGCCCCTCAAGGTAAACGGATTAAATAAATAGTCACTGGCCTCCTTAGATTTGTATTACACTTCAAGGATTACAACTTTATGAATGTATTTCCTACTTTTACATAAGAGTAGAAAAGAGTCCAACAGACTCACAGGGGTCACATATCCTATATAAGATTATCGAGTTACCAGATGAGGATACAAATGAACAGCTATATACAGTCTTCTAACTAGTGTAATGTTTTAACAAACTCAAGAGATGATTTAGCAAAGGTTCTGTAAAGAAAAGCAAAAAGCACTGTATACCCATGTCCAGAGCAGCATTATTCACAACAGTCAAAATATGGAAGCAATCCAAATGTCCAACAATACATGAGTGGATGAACACAACGTGGTATAAACCTTCAACAGTATTATTCAGCCTTAAAACGGAAAGAGATCCTGATACATGCTACAACATGGATGAACTCTTGAGAACATTAAACTACGAATGAAATAACCACTTACAAAAAGACAAACACCATATGATCCCAATAATATGAAGTATCGAAAGTAGTCAAACTCACAGAAACACAAAGTAGGTAGTGGTTGAGAGGAGGAGCTGGGGTTTAGTGGATGTAGAGTTTCAGTTTTGCAAATGAAAAAGTCCTGGAGATCTGTTGCACAACAATGTAAACATACTTAACAATACTGAACTGCATGCTTAAAAATGGTATCGAGGATACCATTAAAAAACGAAAAGCAAATCTGTTGTCAGATGTAAAGTGATTTACCTCAAATAATTTTCAAAAAATGTGACACTAATGCCTCATATACTTCAGAGAATCACTTCTGCAACTGAGGTTAGAAATATTCTGGGCATGTTTGCAAATCATGTTCAGTGTAAAAAAGGTGAAAAAAAAAGCAGAAAACAGCACTGCAGCAATGCCTGCTATTTATATATTTCCCAGTTCTATTTTTGTAAGGAAGAAGCAACACTCTTAAAAGATCATCCCTTTCAACTGTTTCAGAGGCTTTTTATTCTTCAAATAGTAACTAAACAAACTTTTTCTCTTAAGTATCATTTTACTCATAAAAATAATGGGTAACAAGAAATGACTCAGGGATTAAATTAATTCTAGCCATGGAGCCTTGGACTGGGCAAAAAATATGTTCTGAACACAGATTTCATAGTACCCAGAATGATACAGATCTTTTGGGAAGAGAATGTATATGATAGAGACTATATATGATAAAGAAAGCTAAGTTATGATTGTCTTGCCTCATGGGGACTGCCCACAGGCAAGTTAACTCTGGATTCGGTGAGACCGAATAACAACAATGGAACATGGAACGTTAGGGGTAAAAAAGGTTTATACCAAGCTTTTCTCATGGTGGCAGGTCCAGCGCTGGAATCACATCTGCCTCTGGGACATTTGCAATCTGTCTGTCTCTGCCTTCCAGGGAGAGCAATGGGTGGAGATCTTGATATAGTAACACTGACTATAATGCTCACTGCTAATGGGTGTGAAAGCATTAGCCCATGCAGTAGGCCAATTACATCATCAAGTAGTTTAGGGATGGGTGAGGGTCTTGGCCATAGGAACTTTCATTTTCCCTACAATGATCAACACAGTATCTCTAGTGAACATGTTCTTACAGTATAGTTAAAGCAGGCGGCACTCATTAACAAGGTTGGGGCAGGGAAGAATAAAAGGTGACTCTGTAGGTGACTACCTTTCTGAGCTTTGAAAAAAGCCCTACATAAGAAAACAAATCTCTGAAATTCTGTAATATCTCCTAACTATGGATGGCAAAGCACAGATCCAGCCCTACCAAGAACCCAAGACTCTGGGCTCAAGTCCTAGCTCTCCCACTAAATCAGTCAAGTTATTTCATCATTTAGGGCCTCTTTTCTCACCTGTAAGATTGTTATCAGATCAAATCCGTGCTTCTCAAGTTTTAATGGAACAAATCACCTGAAGATCTAGTTAAAATTAAGATTCTGATCTAAGGGTTATGGAGTAAGGTGCAAGATTCTACCCAGGTGCTGCCAAAGCTGCTGGCTCTTGGACACTTTGAGAAGAAAGGATGAAATGCTACCTGAGGCTACCTCACTCTAATGCTGTGTCTCTATCATCTTTGTCTCTAACGGCATTCATCACTTTCTACTTTGTATTTTAAACTTCCTAATTTTATGTCAAGCTCCATAACAACACAAAATGTTTCTTAAACACCAAAGAAAACAAACAGAAAGTTCTCTAACTGTGAGAACAAGACCTTAGAGGTCTCCTGACTCTCAAAACCAATCTAAGTCCAATTTCTGATCATTCTGCCATTTAAAGAGTTTCATCTCATTTAAAAACAAATATATGTACTGTAGGTTGACACCACAGCTATCAAATTTCCTATTAAAAAAATGCAGTTCCTACCAAGTTCTTCTTAGTCACCCAGCAAGTACAAGTTCTAGAGAGAGCTTGACTGTATAGGTTCAAATCTCAACTTGAACACTTATTAGACACACGTATTTGTCTCCTAACTTTCGGCCTAAGTTTTCTCAAGTCTAAATGAGAAAGTTGTGAAAATTAAACTAGTTAAAAGAAAATAAACACATTGGAGGTGACTGTCATCAAAAGGTTTACAATGTAGCTTGGTGGACTGGACTAAATTGCATTTTTTAAAACTGAAGATATTGTAGAAAATTTAATTTGGTGTAGTAATTCTTACTTTTAATACATTCTTTAAAGATCTACTTAATATTAAAATTGACCTCTCTTTAAATATTGTTCTTGGTAGAATCACAGTCATTAAAGTAATAAGTCCATAAATGTTTCTTTGGTAATTAAAAATAAAACAGAAACAAGAAGCAATTGAAATGCAAAGGTTTGTTAGAGGTTCTAAAAGCCATTTTAGCTAGTTCTGATAACATGTTTCTCTGCTGGAAGTATTTCAAGAAGCACTTTTTATGGAAAAGCCTTTATCTCAATATTTCTTATTCATTCAGAAAAGATAAAGCACACTCTATTGTTTGAGTGATTTCACTAACAATTCAAATAATATTTTAAGCCAAGAATGAATCTAGTTTGGGTATTAAACTAATTGGGCTGGAATTCTATTTACTTTCTTCTTAAATAAAGTGTCAAGATATATGAGGATAATGCTAAGACAGAAAAGGTAATATAACACTCCTTAAGAATTTCATTAGCCCATCTCCCTGGTTGATATATGAAAATAAGCTTAATTTTATCTGTTTTAACCTTCTGGATTTCTTATAAAGTTACATAAATCTGATTCATAAAAATCAGTATTTTCTTTTCCATCTTAAATATTTTTCCCATTATGTCACAATTTACTTATCTTTAGTAGTTGCCTCCTTTAGGATTAGTTTTTTTAATTGATATAATTGACATATAACATTATATTAGTTTCATATATACAACACTTGGTATGTGTACATATTGCAAAATAATCACAGTAAATCTTGTTAACATTTGACACCATACAGTTACAACAAAATTTTATTTCATCTCAGGAGAACATTTAAGATCTACAATCTTAACAACTTTCAAACTTGCAATATAGTATTACTAACTATAGTCATCACCCTGTCCTTTACATCCCCAAGATTTACTTATAACTGGAAGTTTGTATACCTTCTGCACCTCTTCCATTTTCCCCATCCCCCACCTACTGCCTCTGGCAACCACTAATCTGTTCTCTGAGATTATATGGTGTTTATCTTTCTCTGACTTATTCAATTAGCATAATGTCCTCAAGATTCAACTATGTTCTTGCAAATGGCAAGATTTCATTCTTTTTTTATGGCCAAATAATATTCCATTGCATATAAATACTATATCCTCTGTATCCATTCATCCATCAGTGGACACTCAGGCTGTTTCTGTATCTTGGCTATTATAAACAATGCTGCAATGAGCATGGGAGTTTATATATCTTTTCAAGTTAGCTTTTCCATTTTTGTTGGACAATACACAAAAGTGAACTTGCTGGATGATATGTTATTTCTATTTTTAATTTTTTGAAGAAACTCCATACTGTTTTCTAATGGCTGCACTGATCTACATTCCCACCCTTTACTCTGCACAGGGATTCCTTTTCCTCCACATCCTCACCAACACTTGTTATTTCTTGTCTTTTTGATAATAACAATTCTACCAGGGGTGAGGTGACATATCATTGTGATTTTGATTTGCATTTTCTTGATGGGTTAGTGATGTTGAGCACCCTTTCATATGACTGTTGGCCATCTGAATGTCTTCATTGGAAATGGTCTATTCAAGTCCTTTGCCCATTTTTTTATTGGCTTGGCATTTTGTTTACTGAGTTGGATGAGTTCCCCGTATATTTTGGATATTAATCCTTTATCAGATATATAGTTTGCAAATATTTTCCAATTCAAAA